CCTCTATACAGCAGAACAGATCATCATTCCTCCTTCTCTCCCTGGAATACTCAAGGACTTCACTAAAGCTGCCATTAGAACACAACCCGAGGACCCTCTCCTCTGGTCTGCAGCGTATGTTCATCACTTACAAACAAAAAAGAAGTTTTTGAATTTCTTTCAGATACTTTGATGCACTGTCTCGGGGAGTAGCTCCACCAGTGAAGGCTCGTTACGAGGGGATAGGAGTAGCCAATAATGGAGGAGTCAGTAAAGGAAAGCTAGCTACACTCCACAGTCAAATGGAGGGCGAGACTGTGAATGTGAGCAAACTGAGGGAACTGTGGACTAACATTGGCTGTAAAGAAACCACTCTCAGTGAAATACTCAGGTATAGCATATTATTATTAATAAAATGGGATGGAGTGCATTATTACTGTACTGCAGTATGGGGGACATGAATGAAAAGGAACAAGTTATTTGGAGGTATGTACTTGCACTAGCCTGTACTACAATGGAAAAGGTACACCAGGAGGACTTGCTGTGAGTGCTAGTTGTTAATGGCTGTCTTTGTAGAGTATATCTTGTGCATTAAAGACAGTCTGTGAGATAATGTCCACAGATTCTGATGGAGGAGATGCTAGAATCAGTTTTGAACTATTCTCAGACTTGTATTCATTTTTAGCAAAAGTTGATGGAGACATTAGTGAAGCCCAGATACAGCGATCACTGGACTGGCTGAAGGTTGAATCGTAAGACAATGAATGAACTGACTCAATGGCTGACTGCTCTGTACTTGTAGGGAAAGATTTGATGGTAACATTGGTCCAAGAGAATTCAAACATCCAAGCTGTCCTAAACTATCAACAAAAATGTAAACAAGAACAAAGAAACAAACTAATAATAATAACAACAACAATAATAATACTAAATAAATGATAATACACAATGAGAATTTAATGAATGCCATGCAGTTCTTGTCAATAAAAATGTACAAACAGACATTAATTAATTAATTAATTAATTAATTATAGAGTAGTCTTATCTTCAACAATTTCTTCATTCCACTCATTTTCATTATTATCTCGTGATTCTAATAAAAGCCCCTCCTCTTCCTCGGCTGTTGAACTCAAGTGACGCAAAGTGACCGGAGGTAGTGCTGATCTATAACTGTTCTTTTTGTCTCTCATTTTCCGATAGATAAAAGTTATTAAAATGTGAAGAAATAATATACTGACAATAACAGCAGCTAGAGCAGAAAGAACCTTTAATAACTAGGAAATAACAAATATCAATAGTTATTAATAGTTATTAATAGTTATCAATAGTTATTACTTTGTTCCCAATAGGTGAATCAGGGAAGGTGATGTCCTGTAGGTTGGTTGGTTTAGGAGGACAAGTTGAAGGAATTACATCATCATCACCATTGACGACCTGATCAATTAATCTAAAGAACAAGACACAATAATTTTATTAATAATAATAATTATTTAATACATTTTTCTATTGACTATATCCAAAGAAGTGAGGTTGGTTCCATACAGTTTGATACTCCATTGTAAGAGGTACCCTCTTGATTCACCCTCAGTGTCTGGAGGGATACCAATACTAGTGTCATCAGCTACCTGTAATGACCACACCCCCAGGGGTCCCTCCCCCCAACAACGGACTGTGGTGAATGTCCAATCACGTAATCCTTTAGATGAGCTAATAATAATAATAATAATAATAATAATAATAATAAATTCATTAATTGCTAACACAAACCTGTCCTTCTTTCTAGAAGTAGCTAAATGAGATACTGTACCTGAAGGACTCACCAGGTCCAGTATAAGAGCACCTCTGTAGGTGTGGTCTATTGTCACCTAATAAATAATAAACAACTTTCAAAAAATTTAAATTTGATCGGAATTAGTTCAAGCTTGGTACACAACATAAGAACATGTTCATGTACGTGTGTGTCAATGGTTGAGGTGAGTATGACAGTAACTCACAGTGATTGCTACATGCTCCAGTGTATGGAGTGATGGTGGCATGTCATCAAGTGACAGTGTTATATTCTGCTGGAGTTTACGATCCATTGAATAAGGAATTGGACTATTAGCGTAATATGTATCTGACTTCCAAACCACTTGTGCTGGTAACAAAGGCCACACCTATTAACCGACCACATGACAGTCACATGAGAGCTAATGGCTAGTCTACCTGAGCTGATCTTGTCAGTCTGTAGGCGTCCAGTACTCCGAACCCGTGCTGGTGAGAGTGCATAAAGTCAGCTCCATTGGTGAACCAATCACCTTCACTAATGTCTATTGGTACAGCACTGTACACAATAATACCCTGTACATCACGCCATGTTAAACAATCTCTGTATAACAACAACAATAAACAACAACAATAAACAATAAACAACAATCCCATTACCTAACTTGCAGTGCCAGT